CCCTGGCTATCAAGGGCATTCTTGAATGAAAGCATGCTAAAGGCTGGCCACCAAGAGGAAGATTTTTAGGTGCACGATTGTGGATTCAAAACAATGTTGATGGTTTGTTTGAAGAGAACAGTTTGAATTCTGTGCTCTTCCCAACACCCTGCTTTGGGATAAGAAACGGATGGTGGTAAAGCAAGTTCTGTAACGCTACTGGCTGACACACGTGAAACACTTAGAGGCTAAGCAGCATTCCCAACTTCCAGACAGCTGATGAGTGACAGCTAGAGTGCGAGTCTCGTGAGCTCTGCCAGTCCTGCACAGGCCTCCCTAGTGCCTCATGTGCTCATGATGGCCTGACATGTGTGTCAGTGTAAGCCTTTGAGAGTCAGGTGCTGCCGCCACCACTTGCTCTGCGTGAAATGCTGAATTCCAGCAGGAGCCTGTGGTGCGTTAAAGATGTTGATGAATTTAGTAGACAAAGGTGATGATTATCAATGCTGTGAAGAAAAATTGTGTACTGCCAATCCCCCCAGCCCTGTATACATCTTCAGGGCAAGAGTCTTGCCCTCTACCTTCAGGTCACTGCACATCTAGGCAAGTGCTCAGGAAGCATTTCTTCACTATGTACTCCCTGCCAGCAATCTGGAGAAGTGCCACAGTTGTGTTTAATGTCGTGGAGATTAAGTGCTATTTCCCAAACATTCTTTTTTTCTAAATAACTCCACATCTGCTGAATCAAAGTGGAGTATTGAATGTAAAAATGAACTTGTGTAAATCTTCACTTATTATATGGGAGCATGTTATTAAAAAATAGAATGAATGAAAAATACTTTTTTGAAAAGTTTTAGGAAAAAAGGACAGGCAGTAGCTACCATGGATACCAGGCCCTTTCCTGGCTTGTAACCCACAGTGCATTGTTGGCATTTCAGTTGTTTGAAAATTAGAGCCACTAACATCTCTTGCCATTTTCTTATGGTCTAGGACAGAGCCTCAGTTTAGTGTGCGTGCAAACCCTGGAAGAGGTTCAGGTGTCGCCACTTTATGGTAACATGTGCCATGTGCTTCCTATGTGCCGGACTTGTATATGATAGCTCTAGTCGCTTATGAAGAAAGATGGAGAGCCCAGTGTCACATATCTGTGGGCACAAACAAAATGTGTTAAAGGAAGGTTAAACCCAGGTCAGTCAGACATCATAGTTGATCTTTCATCTAACAATAGTGACATTCATAGTTCACTTTATACTCAAGGACTAGCAAGAGCTTTCACATTTGAGCCTCTAAGAGTTCTGTTAAGTTTATCCAGCTCTACATATTTTCAAGTTCCAAATTGCAAGAATAATCAGATGACAGACAGCAGATGGTGAGAGCAGGGCTTCATGAGCATGTGTGGTCCTGACATACCTTTTGAATAAAGGACTGCCAGCTGTTTCCTGTCTTCAAAAAGACGTTTCGATGTCTCTGCCTGCCAGTGTGTGTGCCTGCACACCCATCATGGGGCTGCTGTGGAGGCGGAGGACAGCGTGTGGGAGTTGGTTCCCTCCTTCAGCAGATGGGTTTAAATCAAACTCAGGTCCTCAGGCTTGGTAGTAAGTACCCTTGCTCATTCATCGAGCCATCTCACTGCCAATTTCTAGTTTAATCTCTTAATAGAAATGGTTTTGGAAAGCCATAACGGAGTGCGTTACAGTCCTGTCAGTCTTGTGCTCTTCCTTGTACTTGTTGTCCCTGTCAGTATCTTACAGCCTGGTCACTGTGGTGTACTCACTCAGTTCTGAGATTCTGTACTCCAGGCTTGCTTACTCTTAGGCTCTTCCTTCCTTAGCGTCCCCAGTGCAGGCCTCACAGGCTCACTGCTGTAAGTTCAGGCAGACTGCTGCCGTAGCCAGGCTACATCTCCATGTTTACAGTAAGTCACTACTGCCATAGCTTATCTTTTGTGATTTTTTTAATTTTACTTTATTAAAAAGTATGTTAATCTGTCCAGTTTTTTATTCCACTGTCCGTCTTACTGGTCTATAGTTACACGTATTGATTTGGTACTCTACATTATATCTTTAAAACATACTGGACTCTAGAGTTTTAATGTTAAAAAACCACAAATAGGCCTTTTTGTTGGTGGTGGTTTAGAGAAGGGGGTCCCTCTATGTAGCCTTGACTGGCCTGGCCTGGCCTGTCCCAAAACTCAGAGACCCACCTGCCTCTGCCTCCCAATTGTTTTAGGATTAAAAGGCCTGTACCACCCTCATGTCTTAGTTTTTTATATTTGCTGAACTTCAAAATAATATTTGGGGCTTCTAGGGTTAATAAAAGAACTGTTCATCTTTCTGATACTTCACCAAGGTTGTTAACAAATTTTAACTTCTGTAGCCTGCATTGTGGCACAACTTAGTGCTAGTATTTGTCACTAATGTCACGAGTTATGCTGTAAGAATTTCCCGAGAATTAGATAGACCTCACGCTTCTAAATGGGTATGTACCTTTCGTTTCCCTAAAGATCAACACTTAACCTAATTAGAACATTGTCACAATAAAAACATTTGTTTAAAATTCAGACCGCTCTTGCATAGACCTAAAGAAAATTCATTGCTGGAACACAAGATGGATACAAAGGGCTCTGGTGGAAACATTCCCTCCAGGGAACAGCTATTGCTGGGGGAGATGTGATCTAGGGCATTCATTAGGATAATAGTGAAGAAAGTAGGAAATGTTTGAAAAGAGTTAGTTAATATGATACTAGCAATATGAATCACAACCTTAGTGAAACATACATGTTTCTTTTATGGGAAGCTATAAGCCACATTAATTTTTATCTTGGAAATTTTAGGTATTTAAGATGTTTTCTATACTTAGGAATATGAAACGGAATTGAAAGAAATAGTATTTCTTAGGGCCTGTGAGATGGCTCATTGGGTAAAGATCTTGCCTCACAAACCTGGTGACCTCAGTTCAAACTATAACCCACAAAAAGATGGAACGTGAGAACCAACTTCACAAAATTGTCCTAGTAACCTCCAAAAACAAATGCTGTGGCATGCTTGCTGTCAGAAGACTTTTCTCCCGGTGAGTGGAAGACATGTGACATTAGGCATAGTCTCCTTCCTCCTCACAAGGTCCCAAGATAAACCAGAGTTACCCTAAGCCAGTGGTTCTGAACCTTCCAATACCACAACCCTTTAGCACAGTTCCTCATATTGTGGTGGCCCTCAACCATAAAAGTACTTGTGTTGCTACTTCACAACTGTAATTTTGCTCCTGTTGTGAATCGTAATGTAAATGTCTGATATGCAGGAGGTCAGCTATGTGACCCCTATGGAAGGCTGCTTTGACAACCTCCCCATGGGGTTCGTAGCCTGCAGCTTGAGAGCCACTGCCTTAAAGGATGAGGCTTCTTGTACAGCCATGTATAAAGGGTTTCAGCAGAAAATGTGAATGATCCAACGGAGCCACACTGGAAGGCATGCAGAGGGCAGAAATTGACTTCCCCTGGCCCTGTGGAGAGAGCCGTCTTCCCTCAGCCTTTCTAATGTTAGTCTCTTCCTGGGCACAGTTCAGTCAGGGCAGAGTTGTATACAGCTGCTTGGCAAGCTGGATGCTCAGAGGAGCGTCCAGTGTCCCTCCTGGATTCCAAGGATGCTCCTGGACTCCTGTGAGCCGACATCAGCAGCCAGCAAGCTCTGCTATGGTGACCTACAGGCACAGCTTCACACGGGACAATAATGGTAGTTTGGCTCAGAGGCTAGTTCTGTATACCATGTGCTCACATACATCATGTACACAGGTAACAACAATAAAATAATACGATTTTCAATAATTTTTCCTACTCTAGTATTTTTGCATAGATGTATTTTTGATAGATGTATTTTTGCCTTTGATATTGACTAATTGTTAACTTTTAAAATATTTTTAAATTTTTATTAAGCTCTCACAAGAGGCAAATATATTAACAAGCCCTGTAGTGAGTCTGTTTATAGTATATATGAGTAACTATCTAAATCTGCTTATATTCTACTGAAGTACTTAATAAAGCCTTGAAAGTAAGCCATGAGTTGTTAATTTTTTTGTTTTTCTCATTAATACAATATTTATCTGTCTTCTGTCTGTCGAACCCTGAGCCAAGCACTTACCAAGACTTCCTGGGAAGGTTCAGAAAAAGGAGTATACAGGGCAGACAGGACAGGAGAAAACTGTGGAAGGCCAAAGTGGAGACAGCTGCTTCACATAGGGAAGAGGATGAGCAAGGCCACCATTAGGCCAAAGAGACCATGGCCGCTGAGAGGGCAAAGCCCAGAATTGCATAGAAGAGCTGTTGCTTCAGAGAAGGGTTCCTGACCTATCTAGTCATGAGGCTCCCAGAGCCAGCCACCACAGGTGTAGCAGCCCCAGCCTCAGTGAGCTTGGTGGCTATGCCGATTTCCCTTGAAATGGTGCTGGCTTGGAAGCTTGGCTGGAAATGAGTGGGCTCAGAGGATGTGGGACGCCAGGCTGTTGAGGCCCTCGGTTGTAAATCATGTCCACGGTCAATTCAGCTTCACAGCAGACAGCAGAAGACTCAGCAGCTGAGGGGAATCCTCATCAAGGACTAGGTAGCTACAAGTTGGAGCAGGCATACTTTTTCAGGGTTGAGGGGCCGTGGTGAGAGCTGCTCCCAGTGCGGAGAAGGCAGAGACAGGGCCACTTCAGTTTTTTAAAGCTTGAGACATACAAGATGCTAAGCATGCTAAAAAGCTTAAACATTTGTCTTACTAGTATTGGGCTCTTGTTTGGGCCCTTGTTTGCGCTGCTAGGTGTCACTAGCAGTAGATGTTTTTGTTTCAGTGTCTCTTACAGCCAGGAGAAACTAATGTGCCAAGGCAGCATAGCTTAATCACTGTCACTTGTCCCCCAGCTTTGTTTAAGGGCAACGTGGCCAAGGAGAAAGTGAGCTAGTATTGTTCTGTTTAAGAGTATTACACCTAACATTCCGCTGCCTTGTGCATTAAAGTATTAATATATTTCAATATTGATTCTTACAGATCCTTCCGCTGAGGAACTGAGAGATCTAATGATGTTGCATGGAGGTCAATACCATGTGTATTATTCTAGATCAAAAACAACCCACATCATTGCTACAAACCTTCCTAATGCCAAAATTAAAGAATTAAAAGGGGAAAAAGTAATTCGGCCTGAATGGATTGTGGAAAGGTAAGTTTAATTATTGGATAAATTTTAACCAGCAAGTTCTTTAAGATTTGCAGTGCTTTTTATTTCTGTTGTAAAAACCAGCCCTACCTTCAAATAGCATGTCTGCTGACCGAATCTAAACACAGGGTAATCCTTGGAGGCCAAATGATGTTGCCGCCTCAGCTGCAAGAGAGCAGAGGAGATAATACAGACAAGCAGCAGGAAGCAGTCATAAGCAGGACTTGACCTGTCAGGTATTACCTGTTCAACAAATGTTTATGTGCTTAGGTGCCAGGTGGAGTTCTTTGTACTTAGGAAGTACCAGTTAACAAAATCCTTGTGCTACTTCACGGAGCTTTTATCCTGTTGGGAGACACAAAGCAGTAGCTTTATGCAGAGTAACTGCATCTCTTTTTTATAAGGTGTTTATGCTGATCAGTTTTTGCCAACTTGACACAGCTTGTCATTTGGGAAGAGAAATTCCCAATTCTCAGTTGAGAAATTCCCTCCGTCAGTCTGGCAATAGACTAATCTGGAACATTTTTCTTGAAATAACCTCTTCCTCCCCAAGTTGCTTTTGGTCATGGTGTTTCTCAGAGCAATACAAAGCAGTGTATGTTTTTTTTAAAAAGACCCTTAGTATGTTAATATAGCAGGCTAACGTAGACTGGAGTTTTTCCGAGAGGGGGGTCTGAGGAGAACAGTGTGCGGTGGGTTTGTGACTTCGTTCTGTTTCAGTTGTGCTCAGCACAGAGGTGAACCTGGGTACTGCACAGGTTGTACACAGACGGCATCCTTCAGCTCCTTCCTTTCAGTAGTTCATTTAGTAGGTTTTCAGATTTTGAGGCAGAGTCTTGGTAGGGCAGGCTGGCCTCCTGCATCAGTCTCTTGAATGCTGGCAATTACCAGTTGTTGTTGATCATACTTTCTTATTTCTGTTAGACGTTTAGAAGTGATAAAATGTAATTAACGAGCAAATTTAGTTATAATCATTTTCTAACTTAAAATATGTCTTCTGAAACTTTGAACCAAAACTGATTTATTAGGCCGGGCAGGATGGTGCATACCTGTAATCCCACCACTTGGGGAGGCAGAGGCAGGCTGATTTCTGTGAGTTCCAGGCCATCCTGGTCTACAAAGCAAGTCCAGGACAGCCAAGGCTACACAGAGAAACCCTGTCTCCAGCCCCCCAAAGAAATTTGTTATTTGAGGTTTTATAATGTAAACTATATATATATATATATATATATATATATAAATTTATTAGTGAATTAATACTAAAATTATGACTATGCCTGGGTAAATTATAATAAGTAGTAGGAGTTCCTTAAGATATGGCTCAGTAGGTAATGTGCTTGCAGCAAGGCGTACGAAGACCTTCATTTAGATATCTAAAATCCATAGAAAGCCAGATCTGCAGCACATATGTGTAATGAGAGTGTTCCTATAAGGTGAGGGGAGGCAGAGGGTGGAGACTCTCTGGAAGCTCCTGGGCTGGCCAGTCATGTCCACAGCAGCATCCTATGCGGACACCCGGCCTCAGAGAAAATGGAAGGTGTGGCCTGGGTGGCCAGGGCTGCCTGCTGCTCTCCAGCCCCCAAATCCTTTTTTTCCGTAATTATAGCTTTAACTAATGCTAACACAATCCATGACCATACTCCACAGAGTTCATTTGTCAGTATATAGTGAATGAAGTCACATAAGTTGCTAAACATGAGGAGCAACTTGATGGTAGAAATGACTGCTCTTGGCCTCTGGGGATAAGTTTGGGTTCATGTCCAAATTTTTTAATTCTCTCTCTGTATAATCTGGGTTTAGAAACCTTATGCATTCACCTGAAACCATTGCTTCCTCTTGTAAAAGCATGTGGGTCCCAGAGAGTGGCTCGGCAGATACAGGCACTCACGGCCAAGCCTGAAGACCCAAGTGTGGTGCTTTACACATCCACATGGTGGAAGGCAAAGCCGACTGTTGCAGGTTGTTCTTTGACCTTCATGTGTGCTGTGGTAAGCCTACACACGCGGACACACACACTCTGAACACTCTAACAAAGTTAATAAATGTAGAAAACAGATGTGGATAGGTAGGTGTTCTGGTTACGTGAAAACCAGAAGTCATTTGTGCGGACTAAGCATGACGGACCATATGTGGAGGCATACTGTACAAGAAGCTACTGTCATTAACTGCTCTTCTGTAAACTTCCATTCTAAAAGGTCAAAAACATCTTACTTCTAGAAAGTCAGGCCTATCTAATAGACTAAAAGCTATAAAATTGGGGGAGATTACATTTATTCTCTTGTGCTGTGTTCTGTTATGTAGGATTAATAATCATAGTTTTTAGCTATGTGTCTCCTTATAAGACTTGTGTAAGTTCTCAGGGTAAGTAGTTAGCCTCACTCCAGAGAAGAAATACATTGTCACAGACAGTTCTGCCAGTGTTCCACGGCTAGAATTCGGATCTGAGTTTGTAATACTTTGATTTGGAAAGTTTGAGGGAAACTTGACAGAACCAGGGGTGAGAGGGCTTCTGCTAAGTGGGCTTTATCTGCTTACAGTGATATTTTCACTGTTACAGTTGTTTTCTTGTCAGCAGTCCTTGCTGAGCACAGCTAAGAAGACAGCATGATAGGTAAAGCAGCTGAGACGTTACACGTTCTAAAACAAACAATTCAGAGTTAATCCATCACCTCTCTAAGTGAGTAACTTGGCCTGTTGGCCTCATTTTGGATGAGACGATAAAGTCAGTAACTGGTTTGTCCAAGGAAAAGCTGGACTCAGAGTTCAGATTTTCTGGCTCCTGTGTATGTCTAAGCTATGCCGTTTGTCCTTGGTGCGGAGGAGTGGACTCGGGTGTAACTGGGTCATTTTTGCACATATCTTTTGTGGGAGAGCATAAATCTTAATCTATAAAGTAAGTATCAAGTGTCTGTCATTCATTGCAGCGTTCAATTGTTTTAGTTACATTGTAAGACTTTGGGTTTTTATACTCCTAGTCATGTTGATCTCTTCTCAGCAGCATTTTTGTTACACATACTTGGTTATACGTATTTGTTATTTAATTTAACAGCTGGTACATACTATTCTTTTCTGTAGTTGTTTCCTCTTTTTCTTTGAGGAGTCTTAAAGGTGTTTAAAGTATGGTCTGGAGAGATGGCTTAGAGGTTAAGAGCACTGTCTGCTTTTCCAGAGGTCCTGAGTTAAATTCCCAACAACCATGTGGTGGTTCACAACTGTCTATAATGAGATCTGGTGTCCTCTTTTGGTGTGCAAGTCACACATGCAGGCAGACATTGTATACATGATAAGTAAATATATCTTTAAAAACAAAAAGGTGTTTAGAGTGTTGCTTTCGTTAGAATTCCCTCAGTGCGCCATTAACCCCAAGCTAATATAGGCCTGATTAGAAAGCCTTGACTTCCAAGAGTCCAGGGAGTCCTGTAATGAGCAGTCTGTGTATATTTGTTTAAAGTATAAAATTACTTCACTGAAATATTTGTTTTGATATTTTCATAAGACAAACTTAATGTAAACCTTGAAACATAGTGTGGAGATGCCCCTGTGACGACATCCCTTTTGCCCATCTGCCCTTTCATGTGCCTTAGGAGCACAATTCAAGAGTTTTGTCCTAACTTCTTACTGATTGCTTTCAATTTTCTTAACTGGGCTCTTTGTATTCAGTGCTGTGGGAATCAGCCTCCTGGGATCAAGTACAGACCTAGATGAAATGTGGATAGGGTAGATGAAGATACTGTTTTTGTCTCAGTTTACCCCTGTTGACTAGAGTTTGCTCGCTTGTCGGACTGTTCCCAAACAGTGCATCAGCTTATTTATAATAATGTACTTATAATCTGTAGGGTTTTTTGTTGACACAAACTAAATCTTGGGCCTCTAACTAGATTCAATGTAAGTATAAATGTGTATTCCACATTTCATCTTGATGTTTACATTCTTTTACGGCACTGTACGTTCTGAGATTATTTTTGATAGACTTACTCCAGCTAACACCAGTGTTTCAGGCTCTCTGTGTCTCAAGCACTCATATACTTCATTAGAAACCATGCTCTTGGAGCTAGAGGACTCAGCAGTTAAGAGCAGTGGCTGCTCTTCCGGGAGTCCCAGGTTCAGTTTCCAGTACCCACATGTCATCTCTTAACTGTGTCTAATTCCAGTTCAAGGCACCCGGCACTTCCTTCTGGCCTTCGGGGCTATCAGGCAGACACATGCAGGCGTAAAAAGTGAAAAAATGAGTAAAACATATGTTCCTCGACCTCCAATATAGAAAGAAGGAAGAAAATACTGTGGACTGTATAAGAGAAAGCAGGAAGCCATAACCATATTCCTTCCTTTCTGAGCTTGTGATAATTTGGTATGGGACTAGAAAGTTGAAGTAGTTCAGGATGGGCAGAGTGGCTTTGAGTTCTGGATGTATGAGGATACCGTAATGCTGAGGCAATTAGTAAAGACGAGCCTAGTTGTTTTCTCGGCACATCCTTAGATTTTTATCATCTGAAGCCCGCTTTTAAAAAAAAAAAAAA